CTTGGTATTATCACACACAATATAGGACGTTTTAGCTGTCTAAATCTGGGTATTATCACACATTGCATAAGAAGTTTAAGCTGTCAAAATCTGGATATTATCACACATTACATAGGACGTTTTAGCTGTCCAATCTGGGTACTATCACACATTACATAGGACGTTTAAGCTGTCTAAATCGGGGTATTATCACACATTACATAGGACGTTTTAGCTGTCTAAATCTTGGTATTATCACACACAATATAGGACGTTTTAGCTGTCTAAATCTGGGTATTATCACACATTGCATAAGAAGTTTAAGCTGTCAAAATCTGGATATTATCACACATTACATAGGACGTTTTAGCTGTCCAATCTGGGTACTATCACACATTACATAGGACGTTTAAGCTGTCTAAATCGGGGTATTATCACACATTACATAGGACGTTTTAGCTGTCTAAATCTTGGTATTATCACACACAATATAGGACGTTTTAGCTGTCTAAATCTGGGTATTATCACACATTGCATAAGAAGTTTAAGCTGTCAAAATCTGGATATTATCACACATTACATAGGACGTTTTAGCTGTCCAATCTGGGTACTATCACACATTACATAGGACGTTTAAGCTGTCTAAATCGGGGTATTATCACACATTACATAGGACGTTTTAGCTGTCTAAATCTTGGTATTATCACACACAATATAGGACGTTTTAGCTGTCTAAATCTGGGTATTATCACACATTGCATAAGAAGTTTAAGCTGTCAAAATCTGGATATTATCACACATTACATAGGACGTTTTAGCTGTCCAATCTGGGTACTATCACACATTACATAGGACGTTTAAGCTGTCTAAATCGGGGTATTATCACACATTACATAGGACGTTTTAGCTGTCTAAATCTTGGTATTATCACACACAATATAGGACGTTTTAGCTGTCTAAATCTGGGTATTATCACACATTGCATAAGAAGTTTAAGCTGTCCAAATCTGGGTATTATCACACATTACATAGGACGTTTAAGCTGTCTAAATCGGGGTATTATCACACATTACATAGGACGTGTAAGCTGTCTAAATCTTGGTATTATCACACACAATATAGGACGTTTTAGCTGTCTAAATCTGGGTATTATCACACATTGCATAAGAAGTTTAAGCTGTCAAAATCTGGATATTATCACACATTACATAGGACGTTTTAGCTGTCTAAATCTGGGTATTATCACATATTACAAAGGACGTTTTAACTGTTTAAATCTGGGTATTATCACACATTACATAGGACGTTTCAGCTGTCTAAATCTGGGTATTATCACACATTACATAGGACGTTTTAGCTGTCTAAATCTTGGTATTATCACACACAATATAGGACGTTTTAGCTGTCTAAATCTGGGTATTATCACACATTGCATAAGAAGTTTAAGCTGTCAAAATCTGGATATTATCACACATTACATAGGACGTTTAAGCTGTCTAAATCGGGGTATTATCACACATTACATAGGAGGTGTAAGCTGTCTAAATCTTGGTATTATCACACACAATATAGGACGTTTTAGCTGTCTAAATCTGGGTATTATCACACATTGCATAAGAAGTTTAAGCTGTCAAAATCTGGATATTATCACACATTACATAGGACGTTTTAGCTGTCTAAATCTGGGTATTATCACATATTACAAAGGACGTTTTAACTGTTTAAATCTGGGTATTATCACACATTACATAGGACGTTTCAGCTGTATAAAACTGGGTATTACCACACATTACATAGGACATTTTAGCTGTCTAAATCTGGGTATTATCACACATTGCATAAGAAGTTTAAGCTGTCAAAATCTGGATATTATCACACATTGCATAAGAAGTTTAAGCTGTCTAAATCTGGGTATTATCACATATTACAAAGGACGTTTTAACTGTTTAAATCTGGGTATTATCACACATTACATAGGACGTTTCAGCTGTATAAAACTGGGTATTATCACACATTACATAGGACGTTTTAGCTGTCTAAATCTGGGTACTATCACACACAATATAGGACGTTTTAGCTGTCTAAATCTGGGTATTATCACACACAGTATAGGACGTTTAGCTGTCTATATCTGGGTACTATCACACACAATATAGGATGTTTTAGCTGTCTCAATCTGGGTATTATCACACATTACATNTTGCTGTCTAAATCTGGGTATTATCACACATTACATAGGACGTTTAAGCTGTCTAAATCTTGGTATTATCACACAATATAGGACGTTTAGCTGTCTAAATCTGGGTATTATCACACATTACATAGGACGTTTAAGCTGTCTAAATATGGGTATTATCACACAATATAGGACGTTAAGCTGTCTAATTCTGGGTATTATCACACATTACATAGGACGTTTAAGCTGTCTAAATCTGGGTATTATCACACACAATATAGGACTTTCAACTGTCTAAATCTGGATATTAATTATCACACAATTTAAAGGACGTTTCAGCTGTCTTACACTTGTTATTATCACACATTACATAGGACGTTTTAACTGTCTAAATCTGAATATTGTCACATAATAAAGGACGTTTTAGCTGTCTAAATCTGGATTTGTTTATTTACAGTCAATAATTCGATTAATTATGATGGCTTTTTACCAACGTTTTATACAGAAACAAAATTAAACGTGTCGCTTTGTCAAGCTACGACTGAGCGAGCGGTTTGTATTGTTAATTAACCTGTATAATGATGTGGTGAAATTGTAAACTTAAATGTCACTCGACCCGGGTTTTTTGCATATTGATAGAGAGTGTACACAAACTGTATCGAAAAGGTAAGTGGTAGGGTGTAGACCTAGCCGACTCTCCTGGTTATATAATATATATATATATATATATACATATAATAATAAAGGCTTTAGATACAATGTATAATAAAATGTACAATATTTACAGCTGGGTTAGGTCAGTATCGGGTCATACAGAGGACTCAGCGGGTGCCCCCTCGTCTCTGTTCATGTTTTGAGTTGTCCTTATTTTGATTGCTTCTTGGATCTGTTAATGCCGATTTATTGGACTGGGTGGCACATGTTTTGCGTGGTTCCTTCTCTGGTAATATGGTGGTTGCTAATTTTTTTCTACGTCATTTTGATGCTCTTCGAGGCGTGTTTCAAATTTCCTTCAGTTTCTTCTATTATTACTGACAATTCTTGCCTGGAATTTGGTATACGAATCCTGTTTTCTTCCTTTTTTTGACAGTCCTTTGTCAGCACAAGTGTCCGTCTGGGTGTTGGCAATGGTATCATCAGGATACTAAAATAGGCCTGGTGTTTCTCACTCAGTCTGTGCACTCATCTCTTTTCTTCTTTCTTTGTTTTTTCTGTACTTTTGTATAGCTCTCTTTACTTTGTTAATAGACCAGTCGGGGTAGCTATAACGGTAAGCTAATCGATCTGCAGTGTGAATACACCTTCTATCGATAGGCGAAATGTCTCGTGTCGAGTAACTTCTAAGAAGTTTGATAATTTCGTCAGATTCTTGTACAAGTAAACAATACAATTCGCTCACTCAGTCATAGCTTAACAAAGGGACGAGTCAGTCTTGAAACGTTGAATACATACATTGTTTGTGTATAAAGTTAAAAAAATGATATTACTTATAAACAAAGTTGTTTTGCCCACGTCTGTCGATTCAACCAACAATAAATTTAATGAAACTTTTACAGAAAGCGAGGGTAGTTTAAGAAATAGTCCAACAGAGAAAATATTAAACATGTCATGTTTCCTTTTCCGAAAATATTCAAACGGTTGGAAATGGTAGGGAAGACGTTACCATAACTACATGCCAACGTGATGCCCATAACATGCCCACTACCATAACTACTTGCCCACCGCTACCGCTATTAAATGAGCAAGGTACATTTCTTTAGTGACACAAAACAACGAACACTTTACGTGGCGTGCCCGATGGCCATTTACAAGTTGACAATAGTACCGCGTGTAAATGAGACCGTCATATGTGGCCTTTAAGGCTCACGATAATTACTTGTGCATTACACATGTGTCAGTTGAGCCCAGACGAACCCTATACACTCGCGATTGGACAGAACAGGCGATCCTGAGGATGACTTTTAACCAGTGTAACGAACTGTTATCTCAACGATCTCTGGTCTTTGTGTTATAATAGGGCGGGAACTCAAGTATGTTCTGTAATTATAAATACGTCCCTCTTTTTTCAAATACAAACAATATTCGAATGACGGTATAACGGGGATGGGAGGTGAAAAGGCAGATCGGGAACAATAATTACGTATGCTTAGGAAATACGAGTCGCTTCAAAACTATCACAAGCTGTGTACAGATCGTTGTCTGCTGACGTGTACCGATGGACGAGGAGATGTGGTTTAATGCTACACAAGCTGGGGAGGAATAACCTGTATCAATAGTATATATTACTAATAACCCAAAGTAAATTATGTATGTGATATATTACAATATACATTATATAATTTATATAGCAACAACTACGTCCTTTGTCCATCATCATCATCATCATCATCATCATCATCAATCATCATCATCATCTACGTTTTATATTATATAATTTATATAATGTGTTTGCCAAGCACGAAGCTTTGTGCCGACCCATAATGTAGACGTCTACACGATGTTACGCCACCACTACACAAATGTCTGTACTACACCAGGCTCTCCAGCGCTGTACATATAGTGTATGATTAATGTAGGTCGCACCAACACAACTATCGTCATCACTTCCCCCTGATTTGTTGAGTAACTGGCTACATTTAAAGAGCAGATGTGTGTACGATAAGGTGAGCTTCTATATGTAGGTCGAACGACGACACGTATGTATGCTGATCTCCATAAGTAACTTAATGTACGGTGGCTACATATGATGGACACGCTGACCTCTCTAGTTACATCGTTCGTTCAGGTCAAGTCATAATCAAGATAGAAAATTAATACCAATGCATGCATACTTCATAATACTTACGCCAGTCTAAATGGGTAGGTGTCATATCAAATCTCCAACAGCCTCACATGTCATCATCATATATATAAACCACATGTGTGTGTACACGCCGACGCACGCGTTCGCTCCAGTCTAGAATAGGAAGATCCAGTGGTACGCACCTATGTTAAAATATACTCAATTGCCCTTACTCGTTTGCTCATTGACAAGTTTCTCCATTGTTTAATGAAAATGCACCCCTGCCTTCAGTATAACGCTGGCTATGTGTGTTCAATGCGCATGAGTCATAATTTCTCTCGCCTTGCCTGTTTTTGCCAGAGGAGCAGCTTTAGACACAAGTACACATACATGTACATGAGCCAAGAAAAATCATCGCCGAAGGCATTCGTGATATATTAGCTTGAACGAAATATATGGTCTTACCTAGAAAAATTAAAAGCATATGAAACTACGTTTAAATTCGTTTATAATTTATAATAATATAAAATAGCCAGGGGCGTACATATTGCTCGGAGTGGATTTATTTAGGACCGGGTCCAGGGAAGGGCGCTGGTAGTGAGAAGCCGCCCCCACCAGACGGAAAAAATTGGTGGATTCGCCTTCGTACTAGCGTATAGGCAGCCACGTGCACGTGCCCGATAGCTGAAGACAGGATTGGGTCTGCATGAAGCCAAACTTGAATGAAGACAGTAGCTATTTTTGCTTATTTGTGTATACCATCAAAATGTGTTGCACAAGTTGTTTTCCTTCAAAAAGTATGGTTTTTGGTTGGCATTCGTGACTTTATTTAAACTGCCTTACAGCCATGTCCTTATGAGTGCTTTCGTGCGATCAACTTGTCAACAACTCGACTGTCGCTAATGCCATAGGCTTTTATTTGGTAATTTTTTTTCATACTTGTGAGTATCACATTTTTCAGGATACTTTATTCACCATCACCAGTTTGTTGTTGTTCAAATTAATCACTTGTTGTTCGTGGTCCAACGTCTGGCATTCAGTCAGTCTGTGTTTTAACGGCTCTTCCTCAGAAACTACATGATGAAATTGTCATCCAGTTACAAAATCCAAATTGCTCCCCACCGAGTTCTGCTAGGGAGAATGTATCTTTAGTCATTCGGTAGAGCGTCACACTAGTACACCGGAGGTCCCGGGTTTGATCAATAGAGACATTGAAAAAAATATGATCCCTTTGGTTGATAGCTGTAAATGCTTCAATATGAGATGGATCAGAAAAGCAGAATGGGCACCGGGAAGCCATCTAGGATTTTGCATGTCAGGTTTTATAGTGCTATCTCACTGAAATACTATGCCGAAGGCACTCAGCTCAGCATTCCGCCCGCTCACATTATACTGACAACGAGTGAACAATTATGTATGTGCTATATCACAATATACATTTTATAATGTATATAGCAACAACTACGTCCTTTGTCCATAATCATCATCATCATCTTAATCATCATCATCAATCATCATCATCATCATCATCATCATCATCATCATCATCAATCATCATCATCATCTACGTGTTCACTTCAATGTCGAATCAAAATGCTGTAATGTTTTACACAGTTGAACAGAATTTACAATTTGGCAAGCGTTTAAAGTTTATATTTATCTAAGTATTAATAACGATATTTTACTGTACAAATCTGTACAGATAATGTTTGTCTTTTTAAAGTAATTGTTAATTTTGTTGCATTAGATGAAACTAGATTCAATCTATTGTGCAAGCAGATCTAGCATTGAAATTCCACAAGTTGACGTTCTACAGTAAATGCAAATAAAAGAGTAGTGATACTGAAACATCCACAATTTGACCCCGTTTAAAACACCTTACGTTTTCCCGTGGAAAGCTGTCTGTGACAATTCTGTTTCATCATGTGTATCACTGGAGCAGACGACCCGTGAACTTTGACCTTGTCAATGATCTGACCTTTTAATATCCAATGAAAACCATGCGACCTCGTCATTGACCCTGCTTCGTCGATATTTCCGTCCTAGTGGGATTGACCCTCGTGTGTTACGATCGATTATCAAAATTTAGATGGAAAATGTGTATGTTCTGAAAGTTATTAGTATCAAATTATCTATTTCTTTCCTAAATTTAAGCTAATTTAATCGACGGTAATACAGTTTGTCAACTAATCACATTCTTACGCACTCTTCGACATTCATGTAAACTTTTTGATGACCCTGCCAATCATTTCTATTTTCGATACAAAAGGAAAGAAATCGCGAAAATAAACACATCCAATGTATTAAATATGGTCAATATTTAAGAAAAAATCGTTGTTTCGAATACACCATTTTCCTGCTACGTTACATGTCGCTCTATTATTCGATTATGCATATTTACGGGCTCCATGAACCGGAAGAGGTCACCGGAAGTACGACAAGTTTCTAGGCTGTAGCTGTACGATTCAGTGATGGATCAGTTTGGTTGGATCAGATCTATTTACACGCACATGTTACCGGCTACGGCACCCGACAGCTTCGCTTATCATGTCTGGTCAGACAGTTTGTTCGCGCACAGGTACTAGCCTCGTCTATCATTGCCAACTCTGTCCCCCTAGTAAAATGACCCCGTTCCAGAAAACATGTAATTTTGTCATAACCGTTCAAAGTATGACACCGGGAGCAGTCTAGATGGACAGGAATATTTTTTTCTTTGATTTGATGTATGATTTGCCATATATCATGCAATGTAATTTTCGGTAGACTTCATGAAACATCGAAAAATGGTCGAATTTCAGTTGGTCGGACACTGTGCTGTCCACGGGATGACACGCTAATTCATGGGGGTAATTCCGATACTCGCTATTTCGCTTACGTCAGAGGATTACTCGCTGTTTGGATTACGTCGGAGCAAAAAGTTGGTTTTGCACCAAATACGGCTTACGGCAGAGTAAAATGCTCCCATGATGGAAGAACGTGAGAGGTATTTTTGAGCTTTCTTGTATTAATTCTGAAAACGTATCATTGTAACTCAGTCTATATGCTATACGTATGTCTTAAGTTGCTATATCAATAAAAAAATGTTTAGATCAACTTTGTTTTGACTAAATAATCATACATATATACGGACATCAGAATGTAATAACTATTTAATTAAATTACTTTTACACAACATATGTCTTGGCCAATGACTCATCAACAAAACAACATTGAATAGTCTGAACTAAATACAAGTTTTAGCGATAATTTTATCAAAATATGCAGTTGGTATGTATGCTGATACGAATTACGACCCTGTATGATACGGATTACGTTCATTTACAAATTGGAATGATACGGATTACGGTCAAACAATCATATTTTACCTAAATGAAAATCAATATTTTAACAAATTCTAGGATATTTTCTCGGTCACACAGCATCACATAGGAACAAGTAAAATGTTTAAAACTTACTTTCTTAATTTTTCGAGATCTGAGACACCCAAAAGTTTGATTTTTTTCTTCTGGGTTTTGATACCACACTCATTACAAACTTGGCCGTCATTTGGGGTAGATGTGTATCAGTTATATATACCGAATATGTTCGTAGTTATGAAATCTAGACAGGTGCTATCGGAATAAAATAATTATCAGACAATTATTTAAACTTACATTCTTATTCATGTCACGTATATTTCATTCACCACACACTGCAGCTCGCACATGTGTGGTGAGACTATCAACAAACAAAAGTACATGACTAAACAAATGATGTAGGTTTCCAATGGAAAATTCTATTGTCAAATGAAACAATTATTCTGTCTCGGAATCACTTAAGTTCAACTAATAAGTTATAATTAATAACTAGAAGCTACTTATTAACGGGCAGTAACTTTTAATTCAAGGGAGGGAGTTCGTAATGCTCAGTGACGCGACCTCACAACCTTTAACAACTAGAATTGTAAGCCAAAGGCTAACTAATACCCCCGCTCCTATATAAACTAGAACTGTAAGCCAAAGGGTAACTAATACCCCCGCTCCTATATAAACTAGAACTGTAAGCCAAAGGGTAACTAATACCCCCGCTCCTATATAAACTAGAACTGTAAGCCAAAGGCTAACTTATACCCCCGCTCCTATATAAACCAGAACTGTAAGCCAAATGCTAACTTATTCCCCCGCTCCTATATAAACTAGAACTGTTAGCCAAAGGCTAACTAATACCCCCGCTCCTATATAAACCAGAACTGTAATACTAAGTAAGGTCAAACATTGCAAAGCAATCCAAAGTCTCTTACCAGTGATGATGTATTTATTTACTGAGCTGTACACTTATTTAAGTGGATAGGTAACTGACATACTTTCTGTACTCCTTCCTAATGGCAAAACATACTTGCAAACCAAATCGTGTTAGCCCAGATGAACAAGTTTTGCTGAAATCGTCAAAGTAGTAAAGGAAGAGTTGTCAGAACAAACATTTCAAACAAGAGGCATAACTCCTTAAAAAAGGGTCGAAATGGAAAAAAATACTACCCTGATAAACGACATCAGGGGGGTAATTACCATATCTGTAAACTTTCATTGAAATCGGACCGGTAGTTTAGGAGAAAGACAAAGTTTTGTTTCAACAAAGGACAAATACTCCTTTTGAAAGGGTCGGAATGAAAAAGTACTACTTGGATGCACAACATCAGGGGACAGTTACCATATCTGTAAACTTTGAAATTGGTCGAGTTGATTAGAGGAAGTTGTCAGGACAAGGATTTTTCACGAAAGGGTCATAACTCCATAAAAAGGGTTGGGAAAAAATACCTGGACCACAACATCAGGGGGTAGTTATCATATCAGAAAACTTCCGTTGAAATTGGCCCCATAGTTTTGGAGGAGTTGTCTAGAGAAATATTTTTCAACAAAGGGCCATTACTCCGTTAAAAAAGGGTCGGATTGGACAAATAACAACTGGATGCACACCATCAGGTAGTAGTTCTCATATCTGAATCCTTTGATATCGGCCGAGTAGATTAGGAGAAGTTGTCAGGACAAGGAATTTTCAAGAAAGGGCCATAACTCCATAAAAAAGGGTGGGGGAAAAACATACATGGATGCACAACATCAGAGGTAGTTATCATATCTGAAAACTTTCGCTGAAATTGGCCCAGTAGTTTTGGAGAAGTTGTCAGGGCAAGCATTTTTCAACAAAGGACAATTACTTCGTAAAAAAAAAGTGAGAATGAAAGAATAATACCTGGATGCACAACTTCAGGTGGTAGTTATCATATCTGGAAACTTTTGTTGAAATAGACCCTGTAGCTTTGGAGGAGTTGTCCAGA